GTAAGCTCGTAAGCTTTCCCAAGGAGAAGAGAAATGGAACAAGCTCGCAAGCCTTTCCAAGAAGAAGACCCAAAGGTTTTGGCTCCAAAAATTACTTCATAATCTCCTTTAAAACAACCACAAACATTTCTTATATATAGGTAAAGAAAGGGGAGCCAAGCAACCACCAAAAGAGAGCCCAAGGACAACTGTAGCCTCCCAAAACAGCCAGCTAGAATTTAGCCCAAAAATAGAACCCGAAAAGGCCAGGATTTATTCCAAAACATCACCTGAACAGTCACACATAAACTAGAGAAAACCAGCCACGGGACAGCCAGCCAAGGTAGGAACCGTAGAGGCAACACAGGGAACCTGGATAGCAGCCAGGGGAGAAACCGAAGGCGCACAAAGGGGACCAGAACCAGCACCCAGCAAAGGAGAAAAATTAGCCACGGGAAAGTAACCAGGGAAGAAACCTAAAAGGCAGCACAGGGGACCGGAACTAGCACCCAACAAAAGGAAGAGAACCAGCCACGGGAAACAAAACTAGGAAGAAACCGAGGAGACACAAAGAAGGGGGAAAGGAATAGGAAACCAAAGGGGGAAGAACCTGGACCTCAACTTTAATGAGCTAAAAAGCTAACTAAACAATATAATGAGCTGAACTTAAGTAGAGAACAATTAATGAGCTGAACTTAAGTTGAAACTTACAAAAATTTCAACTCAACTTATTTTGACCCCCCTTGCCTACATCAGTTATTAATAAGAGTACACGTTAGATATCTTGGATATATTGTTCAAAGTGATGGTGAAATAGTTGAGGATATTATCAGTAAAATTCAAGTTGGATGGTTGAGGTGGAGGAATGCATCGGGCTTGTTGTGTGATAGAAAGTCCCCCTTAAACTTAAGGGAAATTCTATAAGATGGTGGTGAGACTTGCAATGCTTTATGGTGCATAATGTTGGCCATTAAAAGAGAAGCATAATGCTAAGTTAAGTGTTGCAGAGATGAGGATGCTTAGATTTGTCACGACCCAGCCCGGTGAGCTCGTGTAGAGGAGGATGGAACGGATGGTCAGACGGTAGGTCAAATATCTAATTCCTAAAACTATCAATTCTCTAAATCAATCTCCAAAATATTTGAAAGAGTCACTACAACATTAAAATTTGAAATCACATAAATATAAAACTCAAACATATTCATGATATTACCTTTCCTCAGGAGCTCCTCTTCTACGGTAAACATTGCCATCCCTTCTACTCATTTTTGAATTACTTAAATTTACCTGAAAAATGTTAACTAACATTAAGTCAAAGCTCAGTAAGTAAAACACGATTCTAAATTACAGTAATCAAGGCAAAGTGAAAAATATGCTAAATGCCAATTTCATTGAATATAATATAATTTGCATCATATAAACATAACATTAAACATAAACATAAATCATAAAATCATATCATTTCATAATTCATTTCCATATCCATATCATTATTCTTAACTTTCTCTTTTCGTATAAATTACAATTGTCACAAGAGTCACCGTCTAGTACCTTAAAGGTACTCCTTTACTATTTCCTTTTCTATATCTTTTACAATTTTAACGTGCATGAGTACAGCATCCCTAGCTAGTACTATAAGGGGGTGAGCTCCATCTATTCAACATGCACATACAAGCATTCAATATAACATTCATATCATATCGTATCATTTCATTTCATATAACATATAATCTTTATCATATAAGGACATAAAATATAACATGTAATTTACATGATCATTTATTTGATAAGAGTAAAGAAGCATGATTGGTCTTTCAAATCATATAACATGTGACAAACAAGAGACATTACTATAATTAAAGAACCATGCATACTTACCGAAATTAGGAATTCGATTTCTCTTGCTAATCCTCCTTCCTTCAAGGCCACTACATTTATTACCTATAAGAATCAAATTTTCATTTTAAAATCTACAAAATAATTTAAAACGAAATCTTCTCTTTCTAAACTATTCTAGGTTCTCTCTTTCCCTCGCTCTCTCTCTCTCATTTAAAACTTAAAGCATACATATATTCTAAAAATATATTATTTTGTATAATTATATATTTTAACCAAGTTAACTCTTTACCCTAAATCTAAATTAATTTCAAATAATTTATATTTTCGGATTTAAGATAATTAATAATTAGGAAAATAAGATTTTGTAAGAAAAATGAAATTTCTTCTCTTAAAAATCCTCTTAGGACCCTTAGGAACAATATTTGCAAAGGCACTTCCAAAAATTCCAACCTTAGAGAAAACCCTAATTTTCTAACTCCACATTTTTTGAGAAAAAGCATCACTCCCATGTATAAAATTATCTCCTAATCATTCCTTAACAATCCCCCATTAAAATTCTTAAAGAAAATCAAAGTTTTCTCAAAGCCTAGAAATCTTTTCTTGAGAAAACCCTAAGGAAAAACATGAGAAATTGTTCATAAGAACTCACCTTAGCCTTCTCTTAATCTTCCCTACAATTTCCTCCACGAACGGCCGCCGGAAACCGCCGCCCGAAGTCGCCGTCCAAGTCTTCCCGTCGCCTCTTCCGCGTGCTCACCCTTGCTTCGTTCGTTTCGGGCGGAAGAAAAGGAATGGGGACCGAATAGAATTCGGTCCCCTTAAGAGAAAGGGGTTTCCATAATGTCAATCTTGCCCTCACTTAAATCATTCATGCTTGAATACATATAAGGGGTATAATAGGTATTATAATGTTTCTTTAATTTTTATCTCCCAAATTAAACAAAATTAGATATAAGTTTTATATATCAAATTGGTCAGAATTTTGCGTAGAATTTTTCAAAATTATTTCCATCAAAATCCGTTAACCTTGAAATTTTTACTTAAAACTCGTCGCGATGCATTGAAAAGCATGTAAGATCTAAAACGGCATTTTTCTGGTTTTACAATTCTCCCCTCACAAAAATTTCATCCACTTCTAGTTGTAAAACAACCAACGGCTTCCATTTCATTAACATAAATTTCAACCTTGAAGCAAAACAAACTAAACATCTGAAATATCTTAGCAAAATAATCTGATCAACCCTAAAACATCTGACATAACCTAACAATTTAAACTACTAAAATCCAAAACACCAAAACATCAAGTTTATCATTACAAGTCACTAAAAATAAACTATAAAGCCATCTCAATTATCAGCATCTACAGATTCATCGGGCTCTTGCTGAGTCAAAGTGTAAACTCGCGATCTGACATTCTACCTTGATTGATTTTGCACTGAGCCTGCAGCTGATGGTTCTATCATCTTTTGTTTGCTAAAGTTCCTATGTGAAGGTGCTTCAACTGATTTCATTTCTCCTGAAGTCTTCTAAGACAAAGCAGGACAATACTTTGCTATGTGTCCAGGCTGATAACACCAATAAAAAGTGTTGGAACCAATCAAACATTCACCCTTATGTAATCTGCCACACTTAGCACAAGGTTCCGTGACTTTACTTACAGTTGCACCACTGCCTCCACTAGAACTAAATTTGGGCTTTTTTCCATTTGATCCCTCAGTCTGATTGTTTTGAATATCTTCTTCAGAACTCTTCCTTTTCTAAAAATCTCTTCTCCTCTGAGTAGTCTACAAGTAACTCTAAATTCTTCTTGCCCTCTCAACCAAGGTAGCATAATCCTCAATGCAAAAAAGTATTAATGGCTGTCTAATAACATCCTTCAAACCAGATAAGAAATGATGGCATTTCTCTTCTGCATTGGGTATCATATGTGAGGCATACCTGGAAAGTCTAGTGAACTCGACCTCATACTCAGTAATAGTTTTATCACCTTGCATCAATCTATTGAATTATCTTGCATCTGCCTCCTAGCATATATTGGTACATACCCGTCTTTAAACACCTTGACAAACTCCTCCCAGGTCACTTGGCTGTTAGGTCTTCCTCCAAAAGTCTCTTCTAATTGACTCGTCCACCATCTCTCTGCTTCCCCATTGAAGGGATAGCCAGCTAAGGTAACCCTTCTATTTTGAGGGCATAACATTCCTTCCAATATCTTCTCAATCCTCATTAACTAGTCCTTCGCCTCTATGGGTCCACCTCCTATGAATGATGGAGACTTCATGTCTTGGAATAATTTTCAGGTTTTTGTCTATTACAGTGCTTCCACTGCCTCCAGCCTGAGTCTGAGTACTCTTTATCATTTGGGTCATAGCTGCCATCATCTGTGCAAAAGATTCCATAGTAGCATTGATGCTACTATTCAAAGGCTCTGCTACTACAGGTATTTCCCTCCTAATCTCTCCCGTAGTGCCATCAGTGGCATCATTTTCAGGGTCCATGGCTCTGAGATATAACACAATGAAACAAAATTAGCAATCTATAACACATACCCTACACCTTAACTAACCTATAGAATCATTTTATTGGCTCTTTCATATTGATCAATAATCTTAAACCTTTGCTCTGATACCACTTTTGTCACGATCCGTTTCCGCCTCGTCTACGCGAGCTCACCGGGCCGGGTCGTGATAAGATTGATAAGTGGATTTACCCTTAGAGACAGGATACGAAATGAGCATATACATGAAAAGGTTGGAGTAGCTCTAGTGGAAGATAAGATTAGAAAGAGTCGCCTTAGATGGTTTGGTCACATAAAACGACGGCTTTCCGATGACCCGGTTAGGAAAGTAGAGTTATTAGATTTGAGTTATATTAAGAAAGTTAGAGGTAGACTTAAAAAGACATGGTTAGACAATTTTAGAAATGATCTTTCTTTATTAGATTTAAACTAGAATTTGATTTTTAACTGGACACAATGGAGAAAAAGGATTCATGTAGCTGAACCCACATATTTGGACAAAAGCTTGATGTTTTTGTTGTAGTCTTTATACTTTTTACATTAGTGGTGCAAGTGAACTATGTCAATTTATTATGCACGACAGCTTGGGCAATTTTTATCCTTTCTTGTAATTACTTTTCTGTAAATTCATATATGGGTATATTATTCTCTATTGTTTCTACAGATTCACCTACAGCGATCTCTGTGAACACATACCTGAATCAAAATTTCGATATTGTTTGTTGAAAACATTGGACAGCTTGTTCAATTTGATGTGTTCATATTACGCAATCATGAGTTTTAATCCAAAAAGACAGGTAAATAGGTAATTTGATTTCATTTAATCTGTTATTTTCTTCAAATACTTTTTAACTTCTCTTTTCTAAACTATTTTGTTTTTTTTTTCCCCCTTCCTGCAATGCCTTTACAACCTTGTATATTCTCTATAATATTGGTATACAAAAGAAATAATAGTTCGAGCTTGCAATTTCAAACTTGAATTCAAACTTGAATTCTTAGAGAACCCTTTTTTGCCATGCCTAAATGGTTTGATAAAGGTCAGTTTCGATTTGTAATTCATTTTATGAATTTGGATGTTCCTAAGTTTTCAACAAAAGAGTTTATTAGATGAAACTGTGTTGAAGTGTAGGTTATCCACCTATCTATATTACATGGTTATACTAGGTTAAGGATTTAAAGAATATTGGTTTAAAGTTCTAAATATTTCTACTTATCTTTTTTCATTTTTCTGGTCTTTGCTGTTCCAAATATTATGAACAACACTTTGGTGGCATCTTCATCTTGTATGGTGGTGGATGCTACTTGGATGATGCACCACTAATTGTACAATTCATGATAGTTTGACTGGCTAAACCATTTTGAGTATTCATCTTTTGTTTCTTTTCTGTCTGAAGCTTGATTCAATTCGCAGTATATTGATTATCCAACTTCAAACAATGCATCCAATAACATTAGTACTTCTCGGAGCTCAAAAGGTGTTGAAAGTGATGTAGATCCAAGTGGTTTAAGTGATGCTTCTGGATTAGTACCAAGAGAGATTGGCTCACCATCAGCTGATTGTGGTATACAATGTTCATCTGTTGATGATACTACAGAAAATCTCGGCTCTACAGTTTCAAGTTCCTTTATGTCATCTGTAGATACATGTGATAGCAGCACTTCAGCAAGTTGTAATTCTTCTTTCTATCATTTGAGAAAAGATGCCACTTCATTTGTTGCACAAACTTTACATAGAAGGCGGGAAAGCTTGTGGCAGCTTGCAACAAGTCGTGCATCCGTGTTACTCTCATCTCCCGTTGTTTACTCAACTAGTACATTCCAGTTTCTGCAGAACTATGAAGATCTAAATGTTTTCATATTGGCTGGTGAAGCATTCTGTGGATTACAAGCAACTGAGTTCAGGAACAGATTAAAAAGTATTTCTGAAAACTATGTTGCAGCATTTCACAGGCAAAATGTTTATGTATGTTAATAATCCTCTAATAATTCATCAGTTCATTTTTCTACTTTCGGAGGCAATTTCTTTCAATTATCTTGTTATGCCTGCAACTTTGTCTATGTTGATTTGATATTTCTTTTTCTATTTTCATTTTATTTCTGGAATTTAAGGCACCTATAAAGTCGATCTCATTTGCAGTGATATTATAATAACTGATCCTCAATTTTCTTATAAAGTCCTTAATAACCATCATTAGCTTTCTTAAAGCTGCTTGGGGCTTTTATTTCCAATGCATCCTTATTAAGAGCAATAGTTTTGTGTTAGTTTTAAAGAAGTGCTACATTTCAATTATATTTTTGTTCTTAATGATAAACTAGAGACTCTTCTAATGGACATCCTTGAATGTTAAAAAATGTAATTTTGAATAAAACTATATCTTTTAATATACTTAGTATATGTTTGAAACATTCTTGTTGCATTACTGCATGCCCATCTTATCTAGTGTGAAACATGATTTTGTTCAACCTTTCTTAGTCATGTGGCTAAATGAATTCAATATTTTATTCATCACTGAAAATTTTGTTACTATCAGGCACTTAAAATGGTATTGGAGAGGGAGAATTGGATGAAGTTATCTCCAGAGACTATGCAGCTAATTAGTTTGGCTGGCCTCATTGGTGATGGCGCTCCCTTGATTGTTCCTTCTTCAAGCAATTCTTTAGCGGCCTCTGCAATTCAGTCCATGAAAAGTTCTGATGTGGTTTACAATGGGAAACAGAAGGATGGGTTTTGTTATTGGCTTAGTATTGAAAACCCATTTTCTTCAAAACTATCAAATGGTTCCAAACAACTATCAAATTTTCAGGCATTAGTTAATGGGTCTTCGGTATCAAGCTCAGTGGATACCAAAATTGTTGTTTCATTATACCTTGATGGCCTTAAGCATACAAATGGCAGTGGCCCTTCTTTAGAAGATGAAAATGAAGATCTTTTAGCTGATTTTATTGATGAGGATAGCCAGCTTCCAAGTAGAATATCAAAGCCTACTCACCCAAAAACCAGATCTGCATGTTGGGACGATGATGAGGTTTCAGCACAAACAGGTTCATCCATTTGTTTATTGAGGTACATTCCGTATTTGCTAAATTTAAGACCTTTGTACTATTCAATCATCATAACTACAATCATCAAATCACATTTATCAGATTAATGGACAAATATGCGAGGCTAATGCAGAAATTAGAAATCGTTAATGTTGACTTTTTCAAGGTATGCCAGTTTTTCCCAGCTTATGATTATACCTCTTTATTGGAGGATTCTTGGATACTCTTTCTTGTTCTCATTGAATATCTGATTGCAGGGCATCTGCCAGCTCTTTGGCGTATTCTATTATTTTATTTTTGAGGTATTTGGCGAGCGGGACTCTTATCAAAGTGGTAAGTAACCTTCTGAGAGTATTTGTAAAGCCCTAGTACTTTAAGAAATATTCTCCTAAACTAATGCATTCTATATTCACCATCCTTCTAATTGGTGCTTCCTTCTTCTTTGTTTTCTCTAGCTCGACTCAAGTCTTCCTTGTCAAAAATTATTCAAGATTGTGATCAGTGGATTAGACGCCAAAATCAACCACCTTCATCATCACCAAAATCACTCAATGCATCCATAGCACATATTGATGTAATGCCAACAATTCCTTCTGGAACTGGTACAACATTTGGGCTGAAGGTATTATCTTCTATTTTATTTATTTTCCTAACCCAAATGGATTGTAGTGATTTAATAGAGAACTAGGCAAGTTCCTCAGCAAATTTCTCATAAGCTGCACTACTTCCTGAAACTATTTCTTCAAATTGTGCCATCTCTATTTTCCTGCTTCTAATAGTTTCATTCTTCAAGAATACCTTTGAAGCTATTCAGAATGACCTATTGTTTATATGCAAGTTTCATTCTATTAAAAGAAAAACTAATCCAATAATACTAGGATATAGTTTCCATATCAACAGGTAAACTTCAATGCAAGTTTCTATAAAAATTGTATCTAAGGTAAGAAAATTATTAATTCTTATTTAAAAAAAAAGAGTTTAAATCCCAAAATGGTCCCTCTAATATTTTTGTAGCATATTACATTTTCCTGCAATATAGTCCCGGGGTATCACATTTTTTTTCAATTTAACTTAGCTGTACAAATTTGATCCGAAATGCTTCATTAAGGACTAAATTCGGATCAATTTTATATATATGAGGGGGCAAATTGAGATCATTTTTTATAGCCTAGACTTTGAAGCTTTTCAAAATGAATCTACTACTTGTATGCAAGTTTCATTTTGTTAAATGAAAAATTAATCCAATAATACTAGCTTATAGTTTCCAAATCAACAAGTAAACTTTAATGTAGGTTACTATAAGTAATGCACCTAGGTAAGAAAATCATTAATCTTATTTAAAAAAAAAAAAGAGGTTAAATCCCAAAGAGAGTTCCCTCATTTATTCTTGTAGCTAATTAGGCCAAGAGTATTATATTTTCTTCATATAGTCTTGTATCATATTTTTTTTCAATTTAATCCCTCAACTATATAAAAACTAGTCCAAAATGGTTCCCAGGAACTATAGTGGGAGCAATTTTATATAGTTGAGGGACTAAATTAGGATCAATTTTGTATCATAATTTATACATTAGGGATCATTTTGTTTCAATTTTTTAAAGTTAACAGGCTAAATTATAGAAATGTGGTACTCTGATATTAAATTGTCCATATGTGAGTAATCATAGGGCTATTTTGAGATTTAATCTAAAAAGGGTTAGGGCTTTTGATTGAATTGATACTTGATTTACATATCATTAAATCAGTTAGTTAAATATTAAAACATATTTTTCTCATTAAGCTCCCACTAATGCAGTCTCTGGGGAGGAGTTGGCCCTAATAATGAAAGCATTGCTTTCCTAATTTAAACAAAAATTATCCTGTAAATTGTATGTTGCATGCTTGTTGTTGACCTCTAAAACATGAGACAAAAAAAAAAGAAAATAAAAAAAAGGGTTTCAAATTATTACTCACCTGCTCAAATTCGGCTGCCCATCCCATCTCTCTAAAATCCTGCTCAAAATCTCTGCACTAGAAAAGTCCCTCGGAGCACTATTGGCCCAGAATAATGAAGAAGGCAAAGAAAATGCGCTCTACTACATCAATCGAAGGTTGATTGGAGCATAAAGTCGTTATTCCCCAATTGAAAAGCATTGTCTGGCGCTGATTTTTGCAGTTCAGAAACTCCGCCACTATATGTTATCTCACAAAATCACACTGATATCAAAGATCGATCCGCTGAAGTTCTTGATGACAAGACCAGCGTTGACAGGTCATCTGGCCAGGTGGGCCGTATTGTTATTACAGTTTGATATCATATACATTCCACAAAAGGCAGTGAAAGGTCAAGCATTGGCAGACTTTCTCGCTGCACATCCAATCCCAGTAGACTCTCCACTCAACGATGATTTGCCCGATGAGCAAATAATGCAAGTCGAGGAGAACGAAAAGCTACCGTTCTGGGAGATGTACTTTGATGGGGCATCATCTATTAGACCTATCCGACCTCCAAATATTGCAAGAGCCCTAGATGGCATCGGTCTCATTTTCGTAGCACCCGAGGGAGGCATAATGAGTTTTTCATTTAGTTTGACTAAACCTCGGACCAACAACGAAGCCGAGTACGAAGCTCTATTAGCGGGGCTGGAGATTGCGATCAATGTCAGAATCCAACATCTCTAGATATTTGGTGATTCTCAGCTTATAATAAATCAAATCCTCAGTATTTATAAGGTTGGCAAAGTCGAATTGGCCCACTATCACCGGCGAGCTCTCGAACTTCTGAAGTAAGTTCCAAATGTCAAAATGGCTTGAGTTCCTTGAGGATAGAATGCTAAAGCAGATTGTTTGGCCAAATTAGCCAAAGAAATGACGAACATCAACGAGGAGAGGCCTATAGTCATTGGAGTTTACACTCGTAGGGTTTTGGAGCCCGCTCTATTACAGTTTCCGAGGGCAGAAGAAATTCCAGATTCAAGTCAGCAGGATGAAACCCCAGTTTACCCTCAACCTCTCCATCAGATCGTTATGGAGAATTATCCGGAAGGATATCACGTAACCAAGAGACGTAAAGCTAGTCAAGCTTCAGAATCGTGGTGGCATTGTTTGGATGTTGAAGTCGAAAATGATTGGAGACAGTCATTCATTGACTACTTTAAGGAAAACAAAATCCCGACAAAAAAGTCTTTGGCCGCACAAATTCGAAAAAGGGTGTTGCGATATGCATTTGTCAGTGATACGTTGTACAGACGAGCCTTTGATCAAATGTGGCTAAGGTGCCTAGGGATCAAAGAAGCTGATAAAGTGGTGACAAAAGTCCATGAAGGGCTTTGCGGAGCACATCAGTCAGGTCCCAAAATGGCCGCTAAAATTAAGAGAATGGGTTACTATTGGCTAACTATGGTCAGAGATTGTATTGACCACGCTAAGATGTGTCACGAGTGTCAAATCCACGGTGATGTTATACATCCGCCTCCGAATCCGCTGCACCCGACAATAGCATCTTGGCCATTTGAATGTTGGGGCACTGACATAATTGGGCCGATAGATCCGCCGTCTTCAGCGGGACACCGTTTTATTCTAGCAACGACAGACTACTTCTCCAAGTGGGCAGAAGCAGCTCCATTCAGAGAGGTCACATCGGAGCATGTGATCAATTTCTTTACCCATAATATTGTCTACAGATTTGGTGTGCCATGCCGCATAATCTCAGACAACGGTACCGCATTCAAGAGTACAAAAATTTACAAGTTCGTTTGATCGGCACAAAAATCGATTGGCGATATTCATCCATATACAATCCAAGGGAAAATGGATTGGCAGAAGCCTTCAACAAGACGCTGAATGAAAATTGTTGAAGAAAGATCCTTACCAAGAACAAAAAGAATGCATACGAAGATGGCAGAGGCACTATGGCATACCGTACAACCTACAAGACGCCAACCAAAGCCACTCCTTATTCATTGTGTTCGGTGTTGAAGCCGTATTAACCATTGGAGATTGAACTACTGTCACCTTCGGAAGCAATCCAGAATGATCTCACTCAAGAGAAAAATGCCCGTCTCAGAATGGAGGAGCTCGACGCACTTGATGGACTCAGGTTATAAGCTCAGCAGAAACCTGGAGATCTTACAAGAGAAAGGATGACAAAGTCCTTTGATCGAATGGTGCGTCCTCGATCATTTCAAGAAGGGGAATTGGTCCTGGTGCTGAGAAGACCAATCATCCCACCCGAAGAATTGGTGGAAATTCGTTCATCTGGGTATCCACACTTATTCCAAGGACTCATCGAGAAGGTTGTACCAAGGAGGAGCATATCAGTGATCGATCGAACTCAAGCCATGCCGCCTATCAACGGCCGACATTTAAAGAAATATCATGCATGAAAATTCCATATCTGATGTATTTTTGTGATGATCAAAATTTTATATGCATATTTCAATGCATGTTTGCTTATATTTTGAAATTCTCTTGTATAGCAAGAATGCATTTTAAAATCCCTCATCAGACTGAGGACATTTTAAATATTTATTCGGATCGACATCGTGTCGTATGCCGAGATCCCCAAATAAATATTTTAAAATCTCAAAGACAAAAAAGCCTATCCAAAATGTCCCTACGAAGACAGGGCATTTTAAATATTCATTTGGGTCGACACCGTGCTGACGCCGAGATCCCCCAAATGAATATTTAAAATCTCAAAATTCCAAATTTAATCAATTCTAGAATGTACCTGCTAGACAGGAGTATTTAAATATTTATTCGGGTCACATTGCACTGCATGCCGAGATCCCCGAATAAATATTTAAAAATTATCAATTTCAAATATTCTTTTTGTTGCTAAGGAATACAACATACTTGTTTTTTCAAAGTACATGCATATGATCTCTCAAAAGATAGAGGCAACACCTTCTACAATAAACCAAGACTCAAAAGTCAAGAAAGAGACATTTGGGGCTACACACTCCTACAAAATTGAGCTAAAAAGCTTGAAGTCTTTCGACAGCCTAAGCTTAAGGTTCGAATGGGTGTAAAAGGTCGGATCCAACACGCCCAAATATGGCTGGATCGCTGGCAGCTCCGTCTACTCAACAAGCAATAAGAAAGGCCGTAGTAGTGGAACCCCGACTTCGTCAACCCGTCAGTAGGAACTGTAGGAAGTACGAAGGCAAATTTGACTCGACAAGTTCAAGTGATCGTAGTCTGCAAAATTCTTCTTAAATGACTGGAGAATCAAAGTTCAGTAGGATGATGAGTCTCGAACAACCACTGAATGTTCGTAGGCTCCAAAATTTACAACCACAAAGGATGACTCCAAATCTACCAACTTCAGCAAAATCAGCATTGAGGAGCGCAATTCCCATAGCTCAAGTCTGAAGCCTGAATGGGTGTAAGAGGTAGGATCCAACAAGCCCAAATATGGCCGGATCGCTGGCAGCTCCATCTACTCAACAAGCCATAAGAAAGGCCGTAGTAGAGGAACTCCCATCTCAGCAACCAGAGGACAAAGAGCTATCAAATTCTAGCTCTTCCGATCTATGATAACTCAAGGATCAAGATACTACCTACGTTCGTACTATCAACGTGAATCCAGAACCTGCAAATCCTTCAACAAATCCGTAAGCACAAAACGAGGATCGAAAG